AACAAACAAGGTCAAATTGCATGTTCTTTATGCCGTCGGAAAGATTATTGAAGGGATTTCTGAAAACAACAACTACTACTGGGAGGAGGGTGTTCGAAATTCAGCATATAGAAAGAATGAGCATACATACCTTAAAAAAGTTATGATTTAATGTTTCGATTTTCTCTTAAATAAAAATTAAACTAAAAATGCCGAAAATTTCAAAATATATATGTTCTACATCATGAAATTCAAATACCCTGAAATATAGAAGTATATATATGGACTATTACACGGCATGCCATTCATTGAGAATGTCTAAAGTTTCAACATATTTTATCAGTACATCAATTCTTGGAATTCTCAAACCTCACTCACTTTCAAGCATGGCGAACGGAGAAGCCACAATGCTAAGCTCGATTTCTCCCGTCAGCCCATTATGATTATTTGCAACTTCTTCTTCGTGGCTCTTCTCTATATTCAGGTGGGTCCTTCTCGGCCAAAACCTTCAAAACAGCTTATGGAGGCCTATTACTATTAGTATTAAGCCGGTCACAAGAGTGATTTTAATTGAGAGAGAGATCATACTAATAGTAATAGGTCTCCATAAGCTATTTCGAAGGTATTGGCCGAGAAGGACCCACTTGAATGAAGAGAAGAGCCACGAAGAAGAAGCTGCAAATAATCATAATGGGCCGATGGGAGAAATTGAGCTTAGCATTGTGGCTTCTCCGTCCGCCATGCTGTAAAGTGAGTGAGGTTTGAGAATTTCAAGAATTAACGTACCGATAAAATATGTTGAAACTTTAGACATTCTCAATGAACGGCATGCCGTGTAATAGTCCATATATATACTTCTATATTTGGGGGTATTTGAATTTCATGATGTAGAACATATATATTTGGAAATTTTCGGCATTTTTAGTTTAATTTTTATTTAAGAGAAAATCGAAACATTAAACCGTAACTTTTTGAAGGTATGTATGCTCATTCTTTCTATATGCTGAATTTCGATTCCCTTCCCCCCCCCCCCACCACCCAGTAGTAGTTGTTGTTTTCAGAAATCCCTTTCAATAATCTTTCCAACGGCATAAACAAAAAATGTGCATTTTTTGTAAAGATCCGAGCCTCGTAACTGACTGTTCTTTTACGTACTGTCTGCTCTGAAAGAATATAAACCCATTTTAACCATTTCTATATTGCCTACCAAGATTTGAGTACAAGATCTCTACTTTATGAGAGATCCAAGTTATGAGAGATTCGTGTGACTATTTTCAATGAATAAGATCCATTCGTGTGAATTCGTATGTCATGTTAAGCGTATAATTTTTTGAATTCAAGCTCAGGTTCAAAAATGATGCATTTGTGACCCATTTGTAACACACTGAAATGATGCTTTATTTAGGAAGTCATATGTGACTTTGTTGTTTTATGTGAACATACATCTTTATCCAACTGCACTACAATAATGTCAATCTGATTACAATTTAATGGGACTCATTTGTGATCAGTTAGTAAGTTATGATTGCAATTGATAATATTTATGTGAACAGTTTAATGCTACTTTTGTGATTTTGTGGGATGATTTTAGTAAAAATTAAAACATTTGAGATATGTTGAAGAAAGTGGACTCGAATCCAAAGATAATGTAATTAAGAAAGATAATAATGTTAAACACCTTATTTTAATTTTTGACAGCTTAAACACCTTAATAATAGGGGTAAAACTCAAATAGAAAGTTGTTCTAAAACTAATTTTTTTTTTTTTTTTTTGAAATCTTGCTTAAACAAAATTCTCCCCGTAGCAAACCTGGCGTGCCTCATATCTCTGTGGCCCATTTCAAGGGGGACCAAGATGGGCTTGTCGCCTAAATTTATTAGTATTTATTTTTTTCTCATTTAAATTTTATTTTATTTATATATTGATGATTTGTACACGTTGAGGGCTATTGACGTTCTCAATCTTCTTAATCTCAATTTTTCCTCTACCCATTTTTCAATACTCTGAGATAGAGAGAATGGGGGGATGGGGGTGTCTATGAATACAATAGTTTGGTGGAAATTTTTATTTCTTTTGGTCTAATGAATCAAAAGGGTGAATGAATTTGGAGACAAATTATAAAGGAAATAAGAATGGTAATTGAAATTTCCTACTGTTTATAATGTATTTGCAGAATGATATGATATTACTTTTCTTGGGCTCAAAAATCAAAATGAAAGAAAAATGGAAAAGAATGGTGAAGAAATATGAAAAGGTTGTAACGGGTTTACTAAACGAAAGAATACTATTTGAAGAAATCTTCCTTCATATGGTAACGCCAATTTTCTTGTGGTCGTGGGGTTTGCCACCTTTGGAAAATTATTATTTTTACGTTAAAGTCCATAAGATTTGGCCAATTGTAAGGCAAGTGTAACGCCATTCGTCTTGTGATTTGCTTTTACTACTTGTTTGACACACCATATTACATATTATATTAAGGAAGGTTGTGCCTACCACAATAATAATTTCTTATTGATGTACTCAGTATATAGTATTTGTAATAAGTTATTCAAAAAAAAAAAAAAAATAGTAACAAGAAAGGTTGCGTGTAACATAATAATAATATTGCCTTCATGATATATTGGGTACAAAAATTTTAATCTGTATCTTCTTCAATGCTAGTATATAGTCCCGAGTAATATTATATAACAAATGTGTCCGTATGGGTGTTGAGATGTATATGATACAAATGTAAATTTGAGGGCCTTCACCTCTAATATTTTTAATAATAAAAAAACCCCCCCCCCCCCCCCCCACAACAAAAAAAAAAAAAGGAATAACTTTATAATAATCAATACACGATAAATAAGATGGATTACAATCGACCCAGTTGTGGGGAATTACGTAACTGCTAGCACAAAATGCTAGCCCATGAGCAATGTAACTTCCCGAAGAGGATACAAAAAAAATGGACTATTCCAACATCAGAAAATAGAGAAACAATATGGAGGAGGACTTCTATTGTTGACCTCAAAAGCCCAAAATTGTTTTTTAATACCGGCAGTGAAGTTCTTATGCCGAATTTTGGCAGGATGTTGCCCTTTTTAGGATTTTTGGATGTATTTTGAGTGAATTTTTCTTTTGAATGAAGAAAAAAATTTCGGCCATGAAAGGATACTTCAATCGAAGAATATTGAGATTCTGAATAGTGTCGACCTTAATTTTACCTTGATCTGATGCGAATTTATTTAGAGTGGAAGATTGGATCTCTAAGAATTTTTTTCCTTTTAGCTTTTTAACCCTTTGGGTTTTAACCCAATTTTTTTCCCTTTCTTTGTTGTTGTAATTGCCCCTTTTTACATGTGTTTTATGAACTTTTTAATTGTTTTTATTAGTGGAAACACTTATCATTATTCTGCACATCATGATTAAATTCAATTTCCAATATATTTGGTTAAGTTTTATGCTTTTGTAACACTTATCATGTTATTTGTCATGTAAATGAATGGCTTTGCATGAATGATCACGCTGATTCGATGGTGTCAGAACTCACTAAAAGGTGTTATCTATGTATGAGACCATTGATTACATCATTAGGACAGGGGTTCCAATAATCTTTTAATTCAATTGTTAGAATTGAGCACATCTTTCCTAGATGGTGATTCGATGGTCGAGGTATTTTGTGCTTGGGGTGGCCGTGCAAACCATGTTGCAACTTGCAAACGCTGGTGGACACACATGCAATGGGATCCTTTTGAGGCTAACATGAAGCCTTCATGGACAAGTAATGGGGCCCTTTGGGGCTTATGTGGAGCTGTCCTCACATTTGTCTCCCAAGTTTGAGTTTCATATTTATGTGGAACGAATAAGTTTTATGTTTTTGCAGCTACTAGTGCTGAAAATTTTTTATTTCATTTAGATATACTTCATAGCTTCACCTATTTCTGTATTGTTATGTGACGAAGCGAAATAAATGCTTATACTGATGCTGCGACATTTGTGATATGAAAAATCAAAGCAAATAACTAGTATTCCTGCCTTACAAGAATTCTTGTGTAATACATAGAAGAAATCCAATAGAAATCTAATACATGTACAATGGTGGCTTTTTTGGATTAGAGAAATTAATCCTTGATTACGGCAAGAAATTCAACCCAGATAATCTTTCAATCCAAGGCCATATATACGGGTGATTTTCAGTCAGTGAACTCTGGTCTCTAATACTCTTTCAATCCGCTACTCATTAAGAGGAGGGGCTCTTTCAATCTTAAGATGATTTATTTCGTATAGGTAAAAAAGGAATAAGTCCACAAATGGCTCTGTTACGTGTTTACCATACCGCAAGTATACAGTGTCAAGTTTTATAATATAACTGTGAAGTTCGAACACACAAGGATTGAATATCAAATTTTATACTAAGTATTATAATTAAATAGCCCTTATTTATTTAGACAATAGAATTTGAGTATAAATGTTTGCAAACTAAATTTAAAGTGAATATTGTGACGAATTCAATGATTTTATGCAATTTAGAAGAATTAATTAATATGAGAAAACCTAGATTTATGATTTTACCTAATTATCGATTATATTTCTCAATAATATAACTATATCTAATTAATTTTTTCAAGTTTAGAAGTAAGAACCTTAATGTCACTACAACAAAAATGGGTTTTTACCGCATGAATTTACAGCGTGCATTTATGACATGCTGTGAAAGAAGACTATTTACAGCATGGGGTATATTTATGCCGTAAAAAATCAATAACGTGACGTATTTACGGCGTGCATTTGTGCACGTCGTAAAATGTGAATATTGACAGTGTTGTTTTAGGGCATGCAGTATTTGTTAAAAAAGGTGAATTTATTACGGTGTGCATGTGCACGTCGTAAATACACCAACTTATTACGACGTGCATTTGCACACTGTAAATGCCCTTTTTTCCCGCTTTTCTTTACCTTATTTCATTTCTACCCAATTGTTTTCCACCTTTACAAAATAGGGCCGGCATCTTTCGTCAAGGTAATTTCTATTCTCTTCAATCCATTCCATTTTCTTGGTTTTCGCTTCTTCTAAATCTATAATCTGAAAGAAATACTAAATATTTCTTGTAACTATCAATTCCTTCTAAATTACTCATTCTCCGCATTTCGATTCAATTCCTCCTCATTTCTGTAGATCTTCACCATGTCATATTTGTTTAATAATTCTAAATTTCATAATTTAGGGTTTTAACAGAGAGATAAAGTGCAAGTCTTGCGATTGGTACCAGAGATAGGTGATGGCGGATCCCCACAAGTCCGCCAAAGGTTGATGCTTGAATATCTAAGTTTTGCTTTCTTTGGGTTAGGGTTTGAGGGAACGGTGGGGGGAGAAGAGTTTGCATCAAATTGCTTGCTTTTTCCTTGTTTTTCTTTCTTTCTATTGGAAAACATACCTTGAAATAATGGGTTAAAGGGTTTTCAAATTGCTTTTCCTTGTTTTTCTTTCTTCTTCATTTTTTTGCTGCAGTTTTCCATGCTTTCAATTAATAGGTGTTGCCTCGTCAGTTATGGCTGGTGCTGACTAATTTGATGATATCTGTGGTTCCTACTAATGTTGGAAAGCTGAGCGTAAAATAGGGAAGGCAATAGTTTGAGATGGTGTTTGTTTATGGGATAATCCGGTATATGAAACCGTTAAGCTCAATCAAGAGCCAAAATCAGGGAAGATTCATGAGAAAATATACTACTTTGTCGTGGGGAGAATATACCAGACGCAAGCCCCTCCTTCCTGAAGTTCATCCATCAAAGATGAATACAATTCTTGGATAAGGGGACAAAGGCAGAGAAGGAGATATGGGACTTTGACGAGTTTGAAGGAATTAGCTGGTTATCGTTTCAAGAACGTAAGGTGCCCCTGCTTTGCAAACTTTGTCCTAGGCGACTGCATGTTCTCGAAAAAGAGAAAAAGCCTAAATGGAGAGCTTTCCCCCCTTTCCGCCCGACTCTTACAATAAAGAAAGGATTGGTACTGAACTAGTAGATACGGTTGAGTCAGTTGTTGATCCGAACACTATGTATGGATGATATGAATTGCCAAACAAGAATTCTTGAACAAAAGACAAAGAAATGAAGAAAAATAATAAAGTGGATTATCATACATATCTTTCATGTAGAAAGATGAATGATCATTCTTTTCTGAGTGAGCTAGAAAGTTCTTTGCCAATTCCTGACATTGAAGCCTTGGCAGTTGTGGAGCTAGGTGTTCATCTTTTTTTCTTTTGGAAGATATAGGAGCGAAACAATCAACCTATTGATATTGTAAGACCATGATCTAAGCCTATGAGCTTTTATTCTTTGCTTTGCTGCTAAGGGATTGTTTTTCATTAATTCTTTTGTACTGAACTTGTAGGAGATCTCTAAAGCTGGGGTTGTTGGAGAAGCTATGGTTGATTTTTCAATTTATACCGGGGTAACTAAGGTCAATGTGTCTCTGCCTCTCAAGAATTCAAAATCAGAGGCTAAGTTGCATGTAAATCTTTCTATCTCTTTTGCCATTGAATGTGTATGTTATGATAAGAAAATGAATTGATGGATTCCTTGTTTGAATTATGTACCATTATGTTGTGCCTCCACCCCAGGTCTCCTTTTTGCTATCTTCTTGTGTTTTTAGACTAATATTGATAAAAAATTTGTTGGCATCCATACAGATAGGTTGAAGAAAGTGACCAAAATTGAATTCACTAAAAGCTTGAGGGCACAGTTAAGCAATGGCTACATGGAAGGGATTGTTAGAAACAATTCTGTTGAAGTAATTTTTCATTTCTTCAAGCCATTTTCTTCCCTTTCATGCATAGTGGTTAAATAAATAGTGGATTATAAGGACATAACACACCTGTCTCCTTGTATCAGAGGTTATCTGCCAATATTGTAAATCATCAGGTACCCTTGTTGATGCTTTGCTGGTTGAGAATTTTCAGACTATCTTTTCTTTCTAAATATATTGTGCTGAAGACTATTGTTGTTATTATATATTCTCGTGTATGGGAAAAGTTTATAACTTGAACTGTTGGTTGAACTTGTGTATGTTGGTTGGGGAAATGGAAAGTATTTGTTACATTGGTTGGTACATTTTATTTATATGATAAATGTTTGGGTTAATTTTTTCATCTAAGCTTAGAATAATTAATTAGTTTAATGTTATTTATCATGCTAGCTTGTACTCAAAAATATTTTAATTTTCATCTTAGTTGAGTTGGAATTGGATTTGTGTAATTACTATAGGTGCTGGTAATCAAATAAGTAAACAAATTTTTAAAAATTAAATTAACATTTAAAGTGTGCAAAATCACGCTGTAAATGCTACTAGGGTCACCTCGCACGCCGTTAAAAGTAAAAACTCGCATTTACTGCGTGCAGGCACACGCCATGAAAAATCGTATAACTAATAATGGCGTTCGTAAACGGTGTACATTGCATGCAATAAAAAGTAGACACTTTTTACAACATTGCTTTATACAACGTGCGGCCGCACGCCGTAAAGGTTTTTGGTTGTTGTAGTAGTGTGTAATTCTACTCCATCTCTCGAACGTCGAGTAAAAAACTATTCCTAAAATTCAATTCCAATATCAATATTCCAAATTAAAAGCTAAGAATCATCTAGTTTTATGGTTCTTATGTGGAATGGCTTTAGATGAATTATACTTTCTCTAAAAAATCTATAATTTTCTAGGTTTCGTTGTTATAAGATAACATCAAAGGTCCCCTCGCTCAAGTGTCGAAAACTTAAACAATCAAATCAATCAATTAATGGCCAGTTAATTAAAAGCTTTACATGCAAATAACACAAATAATACTTTAATGGAAAATTGCAAATAAATAATTAATAAAGATCAAACATGTCTCAAGTGTTGATTACATCAAACCCCTAAATAATAAGAAGTTTAGTTCATGATGGATGAAAGAGAAACTACCAAATTCATAATAATAATAAAAACATAGAGAGAAGAACATGATATAACTGTTTTGGAGTTGAATTGATTTTCTTTGCACTATTGCATTTAATATCTTTCTTGATATCTTGATTTGCCTAGTTGAATTTTCCTTAAAAAGTAGCCTCTAGGGTGGTAATTCTCCTTCCTGAAGTCTTCCAGAAGTCCTTCCACAAGTTTTAGTATTGAACTTGTGGAAAATTACTTGAAGAAGGATAAACACTTTCTCAAACCTTTGCCCCCCTTTTTTTTAAGAGTTTACTTTAGCCTTCAATTTTATACTACCATTGGCCCTAAACCTTTGAATAATTAGCACCCGGAGTCCAAAATGATGAAAACCATGAGTTCCTCCATTAATTGACCTGAAAAATGGAAAGAATTGAATATTTTGACCAATTTAAACCAAGCATTTTCGTCAATCACACATTAATAATTAAAATAAATTAATTAAAACCCAAAAAAGGCAAAAGAAACTTGTTCCCACCCCTTCATCATCTTCATCCCGATCCTACCTACTCACCACCTTTCTCTACCCCAAAATCAAATCAACAAGAAACGCCACAAGACCTAGCCACCATCACCACCTCCGCCAATGTCCTGTAATTTTACCTCGAGAAGCAACACCGGGGTGACACCTAGCTAGCTCTGCGATGCTCGTCTTCTGCAATTGTTTTCTATTTTGCGTCAATGCAATGGATGCCAATTCGCTACCTCAACCCATTGTTCTTCATTCACATGGCCTCTTTCTTTCTTTCCTTTGCATACTTTCAATCCTCATTCATTCCAATTCACGCTCTTATCAACTTTAGCTCCATTTTTAAGTTCCAAAACTCTCCATTTTTACGAAGTCACCTAACCTATTAGACAACATGAACAAACACATCAAAATGTTCTAAAACTCTCAAAGACAAAACAAAATATCAAGATTAAGTGGTGTTGACGAATTATTGTTCGATCAAAATTACCACAAATGCACGGTTCATTAACAAGTATTTAAATTGATTTTATTTAGTCCAAATATCGTTCTCACAAAGATTGTACTAGTTCAAGGTCAAATTAATTTAGCCTTAACCGAAACTATTAAAATTTATGATTTTTTTTATAATCAAACTGTGATCTAATTATCTACTTATGAATGCAACACCTAAATTAACTAAAATTGACGCAAAGTTATAATGAATGAAATTTTGATGAAAATGTGATGGTGAAAAGTGTACTAAAATCCCAGATCCTTTTATATCAATTCCATTGAACCTCGAACCTTATGAATTTTACAATACGATTTAATTATGAAGATCAATATTCTTAAATTGTTTAAGAATTGCTCTCAAGTAAAACTAAACATATCATTACATGTGACCCGACTATATATCTATGACAGATGTATACATATAATATAGTGTTATATTTCTATACTCTATTGGACTCTATGACAATTAACAGTATTAACTCGTTTTCAATCTTTCGAAGGTAAACCAAACAATAAAACTCATACAACTATTGTGCATATAATTATAGAATAATAAATTAATGTCAATCATTCAATAATTGAAAATGTGCTTAGAATGCCAAAAATAAATGAGATTCAAAAATCAAAGATTCATGATATAAATTTTATCGTAAACCATGCAAAAAAATACTTAGACTAAAATGTCACCAATAATTGACGGGACGTGATTAATTCTAAAATTTCTTGTATAATTATTGATTAATTACTGCACAAAATTTTATAATTATTTTCCTGTCTCCACGCCACTCACCCTACCGCACCCACAGTAGCTCATCATACCATCGTCGTAAAAAATGTCCCAAGTCCACTGTCGACACTATCAACAATCACCGACCTCAACCCTCACAAAAAAAGTCCCAAATTCACTGTTGACACTATCAACAATCACCTACCTCCACAACAATCAACACAAGGAAATAGATGAAATAGAGAAAATGTCGAGCGGGAAAAGTGGAGGTGGAACTAGCGATGGTTTTGCCTGCGAGAAGAAAGACACAGTGGTGGCAAGGAGAAAGACAGGAGATCCACCGCCGACACTATCAACAATCAGCAATGGTGCAGCAAAGAGATAGATAAAGAGATGGCGATGGAGGTGAGATATAGAAAAGAAAATGAATGGGATGAATGAAAATAAATTTAGGGTTTGATGGGATGAATATGTATATTTAATTTTTTTAATATAATTATTAATATTTAAAAATATTAATTTTGAAATAGTAAACTTAACCTGTAATTTAAGAAATGGGATCTCTAAATCTATTAGTTTGTGTAGATTAATTCCAATGCCCATTTAACATAATATTTCTCTCCAAGGTTTCATCTTTCCCAAACAATGCAATTTAGTCCTTGAATTCATTTATTTGTGCAGTCCTCTTCAATTTCTAAAGTATGGAATTTGATCCTATACTTTAAATCAAATGTCCAATTAATCATTCTTTCTTTTCCAATTACTTTGAAATGGGTCCAATACTGAAACAAAAGAAAATTAACCTAAATTAAGTAGGAATCAATTTATGACGACATAAAAGTTTAGTAATATGATCTAGATAAGTGCACAAAACGCACTTATCAAACACTTTCAAACTAAAATCTTTGTTTGAATAAATCACAAATAACTTTAAACTGCTTTTGATATGCCTCAAGTTCGAATTTTAAGTAACACATTAAAGAGTTCCAAATAACATTAAAAAAAATAGATTTTTACATATGATGCTCGAATTATTGTGCGTATGTGTGTGTGTAATTAGCTAAATTGAACTCACAGCTATAGTAAAACACAATCAATAAAGTGCGTCGTTGATTTACTCAATGTCTCAATCTTCTTTGGTCAAATTTTCCTCATACTTCTCGTGCAAACTCATTCCTTATGATTTTCTCTCCAACCTCAAGATATTTCTCACACCGGTGGGTTCCTATCATTTGGAAAAATTGCAGCTGTGATCCCAAACCTTTGAATTTTTCTACAGACTTTATCTTAACTTTTAATTTGTACCACGATCGATCCCAAACATTTGAATAACTAGTAGTAAGCACATGCATTGAACGTCTTATGTGTGGAATGAATGATATACATAATATTTTTAAAGTCAGGCAATCGATAATGTTAAAAGAAAAAATTAAATTGTTAAGGAATATATATATATATATATATATATATATATATATAAGACGTTCAATGCATGTGCTTACTACTAGTTATTCAAATTTTTGGGATCGATCGTGGTACAAATTAAAAGTTAAGATAAAGTCTGTAGAAAAATTCAATATATATATATATATATATATATAAGTTTTATGAAAATTATGTACATAAATTGAAAATATTGAATAAATTGAAATATAATGATTTGTTTATGCTAGACCTTGGTTGGACTCCTATTTTCAACTATTACGATGACATCGACCAATTTTGTGGTACACACAGACGCGAAGAAAAATCAAATTAAAAGATGTACATTTGATTAAGTTTAAAATGTTTACTTTTAAGTAAACTAAAGGTATGTAAATAATTTTCAAATTAAAATTTTACTCATTTTATCTGTAACATAAAAAAATTTTACCTAAAAAATAAAAACCAAAAATCATCTTATCTAAACATATTTAGAAATGAAAAATTACATATTAATCATACTCATCATGTTAATCCATAGCATTTATTTTAAGTTAGAAACCAAAGTTACATCAAAATAGATATCGAAGTGAAAAATCTTAAACAAAAGTTTTCATTTTCTTTTGAATGGGATTGATACAAATGGAGGAATAAAAATTCTCCATTTAAATGTAACAAGATAAAAATTTTAAAAAATCTTTTATTTATATATTTATTTCTAATAAGTAACAGGATTACCATCATTTTTCTGCTTATACAAAAATGAACATGCAATAATAAATACACAATACTATATTAATTATATTCTAGAACACATAATATTAATTTCTATTAATATTTAAAAAATTGGATTTAGTGAAACTGTGTAATTTAGATGCAAAGCTTGTATTTAGTATGTAGATACAAATATGGGAAGTGTAAGTAACTCCTAATTATTATGACTAATTAGTAAGATTTTTAAGATTGATGGATAATTTCTCCTATCATCGGTTCTTTCCTTTTTAATTGTTGATCACATTTAAACAATTTTTTTCCTTTTCAATTTATTGTCCTTTGTATTTAAATAGTTATATTATCAATTATTAATTAATTAAACGTGATATTTATAATTTTTGAATGAAAATATTGACAATGTTATATAAGGACAAAATGATAAATTGACATTTCTCATCTATCTCCACATTTTATTTTTATATATATTGTAACTATAATATAATTATATAACTAGATGAATGTTGATTTTAGGTGAAGCTCATGTATATAAATAATAAATAATATAATATATCTATACATGTACGTATAAAATGATATTATAATATATTAAAGGGGGCACTAGTAATAGATTAATTAAAGTTTAATTTCTCGTAATCTCCTTTTAAGTACAGAGTTCATTTTTCATATTAGAGTACTCATAATTTTATATTAAATAAATTAAACTTAAAATCAAAGCTCGTCTACATGTATTATCTTATTAAAAATATAATAAATATTATTTTATATGGTAAGTGATCTACAATGATATTAATGCAACCTTTAATATATTTTAAATATGTAATTTAAGTAATTAAACTTAATTTGATTAATGTAAAATTTTAAGTATTCCAATATAAAATAATAAGTATTACACTTAAATGAATATTAAATGAAATTAAATTATATTAAATGGTACTATAATTATATAGGGGTAGAATTCAAATATAGGTAAATAAGGGTAAAATTGGTATTCAAAAGTTTCTTCTCATTCTATACTTTTAATATATTGCAGATTAGCACCAAAGTCCAAAATGATGAAAATCGTGAATTCTTCCATTAATTGACCTGAAAAATGGAAAAATTGAATATTTTGACCAATTTCAACAGGGCATTTTCGTCATATTTTGAATTCATGTGAGGTTGCATTGGGTAGGGGCCTGGGCAAGGGTGCATTGGGAAGGGTACATGTTCGAGATCACCAATGTTGAATGTATAGAAGAGGGGTTCCCCTCCAGATGAGACACATTGGAATGGTCCCATGTAATCAAAATATTGTCAAAAAAAACCTCACCCACCCCACCTCTTGTATCTGATCTGGTGGGGTTCTGTGAACCTCATCCTGTACGTGTATCATCTCTCATTTGAGATAGAGGATATATTGCACAAAAAGCAAAAATAATTAGTTTTCATTTTTTATAACAAGAATTGATCGGTTCCGATCCGATTTTAGATGATTAACAAAGAACCAAAAAAATAAAAATAAAAATCCTTTTGTATTTTTTTAAGCGGTGTATCTTGCCAATCTACATCTGATGATTACTGCTGAAGTCCTAAACGCTTAAACTGTACAATCATTTCTTCAATGATAATATTCATATGTACAAGTCGATGCCTCATTTTATCATTGTTTGAAATTGATTATTAGAAAATCACTCTTTCATAACCCATATTTGTTTTAACTAAGAAAAGTAATATAAATTTAAGCAAAAGTCAACAATTAATTTTAATCATACGTTTTGTAGGACCAAATTTTTTTATTAACATTTCAATCATAAATTTTATCACTTTTTATCAAAATTCACTAAAAAATTCATTTTTTTAGCTAAACCAGAAAAGGTCTACACATTCTTCAAAATCATTTTCCAAATAATCACTCTTACGAAAGCACATTCTTCTCAAATCACTATTTTGGTTTTCATATTTTCTTTATAATAAGTTAATAATTCATATTTGACCATTGAAGAATTAATTGTGTTATGTAGGACTAGGCAGAAAATTCAATGAAGGTCACACTTGAACTATTTTTCATGAGCTGGAATAATAGGAGAATAGCTATCATCGTTTTATTGTTTTCCTCAGGCTTAATTAATCGACTAGTGCTAGGCGTACAGACCCAGTACCTTACAGGGGTCTTACCGACCCCTCACATGGAGTGGGGTTGAGTTTTTTTTTTTTTTTTTTTTTTTTTTTCATTTGTTATGGCATCGGGGCCCGCGTGGGGCCGATCCCCTGTGAGGGGTCGATAAGACCCCTGTGAACAAAGCTCTGTACATAGGGCTTTGTTGTAATTAGTCATCAATGCTTAATGAGTTTAAGATTAATTTGTTTTTATTCACTTAGAGAAGAGTTGGTTAATTGCTTAATACTTGGACTATGTTTATTAATTTATTTGGTTAATGCCTTTTAGTTTCAAGGCTGTAGTTTAAAACTAAAAAGGATGTTTAGTTTATTTTTTCTATTTGTGGTTTGAATGTTTAGTTGTTCAATTTACTTTAATTTGTTTGTTAGTGATTGGTTAATGGGTTGGATCATGATTCAGGTTGTTTTCAGTTTTCAATTTATTGTAGGATAATTCAATTTCTAAATGAATAATATGATGAATTCACTGCTTTAATTTTTGCATCTCAAATAAGTCAAGAATGCAGATTTTACTAATGCTTAAAAGTTAAAACCATCAAAAATTTAAATGCACAAGGAATCATATCGGATTAGAATCAAAATCAATCACTTCCAACCCAGTTTTATTCCCATTTTGGTCATGGAATCAATAGATACCGAATAAATTTTCAATGCATAAAAGTAAATATTTCGATGACTTCGACAACCATTACCTTTCAAGTCACAATTTTTTTTCACTGAATATTTACTAGAAAATATTCATACTTCTTGATTCTTTAATACGCCAATAAGATACAAGATTAGAAGTTATATTTTAAATTATCGTAGATTTTCATAATTGAGAATCCATTTTATCATTTCGATGAACAAATTTAGAAGGTGTCACCAATAATTTCCATCTAAATTTGGAATAGGCTAAAATTTTGTAATTCCAACCCCTAATTGCTTTCTATAAAAGTTTTAAAAATAAAATAAAATTCTGGCCAGTAATTTATTATTCTGAAAGGATGCTCAAAATTAATGGCACACAATGTGGAAAAATAAACGGTTTAGATCAAACTATTTACAGTCCCCAACAATTTGAATTCAAATTAGTAGAAGTAACGGTATCATTCCGGAGCCTCTGCCTCGGATCCGAACCTAATTTTCTCCCACTGATAAAAATTAAGGACTTATTAATTAACGGAGAAGTCACTGTATTATGAGTTTCATCACCTCAACTGAAAAAAGATTCCAGTTTAATTGCAAAACCATTTTGCCCTCTCTTACTAAGATTTTTAGGGCTTTGTTCTGTTTCTACAGTCAAGCTTAGTTCAAGAAAAATTCTTCAAAGTATGTTCTTCATTTTGGTTAATAATAAACATATGCTATATTTACATGCTTTAGATTAAATTTGAGAATGTATAGCCAGAAATAATTATGGGTTTTTAATTTTTTTCCCTTGATTATGAATTATTAAAGATTTGAGCTTCAATGGACGATCCAACAAGACGAGTGGGGGTGCATGAGTTGAACTTGGCTTCAAGAAAAGCAGAAGACGCAGGTCTATTTTTTCTCTCTCTACTGATAGATGCAGGTGTGGTAAATGATACTCGATTACGGGATTTATGGTATCTCATTTCATTTCTATTATACTGAAGTCAAGAACCAGGTTCTATGAATGAATCTTGCTTTTTTATTCAGTGAATTCTTTTCTTCTTCTTTTTTCATTAATTTTTCTTTAAATAAAAACTAAGAGAGTATAAATTTTAGTTTCTTTAGACTCTTTTGGTTGTATGGAACATGTGGGAAATAAAGGGCTTGGGTTTTGAATATGAAAATTTTGATTACTTATAGGTATTCTGATCTAATTTGTGTAAATTTTTATATGATTTTTTCTTCTGGAATTTAGAGGTTATCTTTTTCATCATTCATAGTTTTATTCTAATCTCCTTGGGCATATGTGCCTACGTTAATTTGGAGTTGTGTGTATGTATTTGTATTTTTAATTCCTTTAATGTCTCTTCGACTTCTGAATATTAATTTTTGTGGCTTTTACTGAATTTGCAGCTCTAAGACGACATCAAGCTGCCCATTGGCTAGATTGCCTAGTGGGACCTCTTGGAATATCTAACCGCCCCTCGGAGACAGAGTTCATTTCTTGCTTGAGAAATGGTTTAATTCTTTGCAATGTAATTAACAAGATTCAACCAGGTTCAGTTCCAAAGGTAAAGTATTCCTTGCTGGGATTATTTGTTATGCTTGTTTAGGCAGATTTGATAACGTAGGGTTTGGTTTTTCTTCACTTCTGATTGTTCTGCATTTCAAATTTATAATTAGGTTGTGGAAATTAACTCATCTTCACAGTTGCTGCCCTGGGATTCAAAGCCATTGCCTGCCTATCAATATTTTGAGAATGTTCGTAACTTTTTAGTAGCTGTGGAAGAACTGAAACTACCTGTTTTTGAAGCTTCTATTTTTGAAAGGGTAAAAATTCCATGCCTCTTTGCTGCATCAACTAACAAGTTTGCATAGTGAACTTAGAAGCAAGTATAACTAATATATGTTCACAGGAAAATTTGGAAGAGGGGTCATCAAAGGTTGTTGATTGCATTTTGTCTCTTAAAGCATTTCATGAGTGGAAGCAAATGACGGGAGGGAATGGAACTTACAAACCGCAGAGATCTCCTTTGATTACACATTCTGCTGGCAGGATTCATGCACGAACATCAGACTCGGTCATTTTTCATAGTTCAAGGAAACTAGATATGTCAGCAGCATTTGATAAATCACTACCAACAGATAGTGAAATCCAAAAATTTGAAGGTAGTTCACTATTTTCTAATAGTTCAAAGTGGTCAATTGAATGAGTACTATAGGAAACATCAGTTATATTTAGCGTTGCTAAAACCTTAATTAATTTTGTTGATTGACTTAATCTTATGGTGAACTGGAATTTCGTTTTAGGGAAGGATAATTTGTCAGTCCCCACATTCTAATGTATAAGAGGTTGCTTTTGGAAATTACTACAGAGTGAATCTTTTCCAAGTTTTAGTTAAGAACTGTACAGTGTATGTTTTTTATTTATAGCTTTTCTTAGTTTCTCCAGTAGCAAAAAATTGGCAGTTCTTCCTTCACATGTTTTCTGGTACATGGCGTGGATTAAATATCATTAGGTTATTTACTCTTTATGTTTTATTGGCTTCTACAGATGTAATAGTTAAGGCTCTTGATGAACATATGATCGATTCAAAGGAGAACACGGACAGTAATCTAATTGCTTCCTTTTGTAGTGGAAATGTGGTAATATTCAGTTTGATAGTTATTTCTGGGGTTGAAATATTGAACCTCTAAAAAATGATTGTACTTACGTTTTGATCGCATAACAGGATTCAGTCAAATTATTGACCAACATCTTCTCCAGTTGCTTGGAGGAACAACTTCAAAGAAAATTACCTGAGGTAATTTGGTTATTTTAACAAAAACAGTTGCATTCCTTAATTCTCAAAATGCGGTTTCTGGCTCATATTCTTTCTTAGATGTCAGAATACATGATGTTTCTGAATAGTTGCTGGATTTCATTTTATTTTCTATATTTTCTCATAGCATGGACTTTGAAAGAGAAGTTATCAGCTAAATACCTAGATAAGATGCAAGAAATTGGGATATTCTGGAAGGATGCTTCCAGAATTTCAGGTTCTTTTAAGTACCACCTGCCACCTGAACTACGGTCCACCATTCTTAAAATTCATGCTGATTTCTACATTTAGATCATACTGGACTGTGGACTGATTGTATTTGATATAATCCGCATGTGCAACAAATTTTTCTTACCGTGGACTTTCTTGATTCTTGTTTTACAGTAAATTTAATCTAATTTGGATAAGACTGAGCTTTCAAATGATGAAGTTCTCGTTTTATTTTTTGTACCGCATGCTCAACAATGTTGCATTCATGATGACAGCACTTTGATATTTGTCCAACTGCTGGTAGAGAGCTACTTGATTTGGAAATAAATTTTTGGAAAGATTTTTGTGTTCTACTGAGATGTATGTAGATTGATGACAATATTGACTACTATTCATATTCAACCAGTTGAGATCGGGTCTATCGGAACAGAGAGAGAGAAATCGCTCACCTGTGCATTCTACATCTGTGCCTCTTGACAAATTGTCAAATCACGAGAATGGCAAGGTATTTAGTCTACTTGATTTAATGCTTAATTTTGTCAGTGCAGTGGCGGATCCAGCACTTGGCGAGCCGCGCGGCTACGCATGCTGGATTCGCCGGAAGCTTTTTTTTTTTGGTTGAGAATAGATAAAGATTTTTGAATATATTACTGGTAATTCATTATCATTTCAACCATTCCTTCTAGCCAAGTTGGCTAGTGCTTGCATGTGTATCTTGGAAGTCCTGGGTTCAAAACTTTTGCTAACCAATTTATTGTATAACATTTTTAGTTATTATTGTAATAAGGAAAACGCCAAAGGGGATTCAAACCTGTGAGCTCTTCTTAGAAATATTGAAAGCTTGACCATTATGACAGTTGCTGAGTTATGATACTAAATTTAACAAAATAATATATGTTAGATTTTAGGGGTTTTGATGCAATAGTAAAAATTCGAACCCGTGCTCTTCCTTTCAATTATATAAGGCAGCAATGTCATTTAGTGAGTACGATTTATTCTTATAAGCCTTTCAATAATTATTTTATTTAAATTTTAAGCCTTGTTTGATTCCCATTTATTTCAAAATATATTTTTCATTCTTATTTTTGATCAAACATTCTTTAATAAAATAATATTACACACAAATTCAAAACTTTTCTTATTTTTAACTACACATTCTCCATCAAATCACTATTACAAAATCAATTTTTTGCAAAAAAGAACATCAAACGAGCTCTTAATATTTTAGTGCGGTCCACGGTCAACGGCCGCACGTGCTAACTCAACATTCTGTATTCTCCACTGAGTGTCGTTATACTGGTTAGAATCAATCTCAAAAATGATTTATTTACTTAGACTGTGAAATGTCTTTACATCTATCGAAGTTGTTGATGTTGTTTGTTAGTATGCGACTACGAACTATAAAATCATTCAGATGCATTTTTAAAGGGGTTTGTTAAGAGTTTTGAAGGGTATAATGACATATGTTTAAAAGGGCTTGGTATGTGAACAAAGTTGAAGACCATGCTCTCTATTCCATGAGAACCTTTTATGGTAAGAAATATCGCCTTTCAAATAGGGAACAGTTTAGTTTATCTATGTATCTAAAGCAAGAGCACAGGATCAGCTCAATTACTTGATTCTGTTTCAAGTCTCTTACTGCCAACTTGCATAAATAATACGTAGTAGTAATAAATTTCAACTAAAATTTAGATAAATCATATTATGGCTAGTATAGATTCATTCCATAAAAATCTGCAGTTGATTTATATAAGGTACTTATTTCCAGTGCACCATGGACATAGATGAATTATTTGATCTACAGTGTTGTAGGGCTTGCATGAAGACCGGTAAGTGCAATCATTGGAATCTGGTTGGGCAGCAAGAAAGGGAACTTTTGGTAAACATTTGTGCTTTTATGTTAAGAGTTTTGACTATATATTTTCTGACATGAATGATGTTACAATATATGATTTATCAAAATTCCTTCCTTTTCAAGTCTTTTATCTAATAGGACAAATTTTTTTGTGCCTCTTTGTCCATGCACGCATATATATTTTACTATTTTCTCCATATTATACTTGACAATAATATTTTTATTGCTTGCAGAATCTTAAGATGCTGCTATGCAGTACAAAGAAAGAGTTCGAATGTCTGCAATCTCACTTTCAAAGTGATTTGAAACAAATTGGTATGTTCTATGCTAAGGGAACCTTAGTCCCTTGCCCAGTAGTTTGTCCCCATAAGTTTATATGAGTCATGTCAATACCATGAACTATAAGCAGTCAGTCAGGGGATGTTGGTTAGATGCTCTTTCATTTCTTAATGGACACCATTGAGTAACAAGCTTGTTACCAAAAAATTGATACTTCCTAATCCTATTTCTCCTAAGGCATATCTTTATTCCCCCCCATCAATGCCCCTATCAAACAGATAGATGCTGGTTTATTAAGATGAGATTTTGATGCTGGTTTACTAAGATGAGATTTTGGTATCACTTGACATTTGATGATTTCCATATTCAAATTCTCTTCTTGCAAATGACTTTTTCCCTCCTTCAAAAAGAAGCATCTCTCTCAAAAAAGAAGTGGATTTTATCTTGACTTGTTTCGATAGATCGTCGAGGAAAAGCCACAGACGGCATGTTTCATATGATATAACTGATATCTTTGATATTTTCAGATTTAACAATTGAAGGGAGCAAAATGTTCTCTGATGATGTTCACGTATGACATTGAAACTGATTTATTTTGTACACTTACAAGAGATATTTTTCTTCTTTTTTTTGTGAATTCAGAAGATCAGGTGCAGGAGATGTCTACTGCAGCCCTTGGTTATCATAAGGTTGTAAAAGAGAACAGGAACTTGTACAACATGGTTCAGGATCTAAAGGGTTAGCCTAAAGCTTTTCACTCTTTTGTTATTAGATTAATTATATGATTGTTTCAGAGAAGTTAAAATTTACCTCATGGTAAACTTCTTGACCTTTTATTTGTGTTACTGATAATATAAATAATAAGCTTATGATAGGGTATCCATGGAAATCCTATAGTGGTGTAAGAGAGATAAATAACTGTTTTTAGATATACAAACATCATTAGGGATATATATATGATGTAGCAACGACGAGTGTAAGATGAAGTGGCCATAGTTGGTTAATCAGATACAATGTAGATATAACTAAGAAAATTAATCAACCAAAGACTCAAATCCTTTATATGTAGAAATATTTGTCCTCAATTTGAATTCTTCACATCACTGATCCATTAAGTTTACGTTTTCAGTTATTTTTCTATTTTTCCAGGAAATATTCGAGTTTACTGCAGAATTAGGCCCATATTCAATGATGAGACAAAAACTGTGATCGATCATATTGGAGATGATGGATCTCTTGTGGTTGTAGACCCTCTGAAACCGCAAAAAGACAAAAGGAAGATTTTTCAATTCAATCATGTGTTTGGTCCAAATGCCACTCAGTGTAATTGATACTATTTTCTATGTTAGAAAATCTTGGTCTTAGATTTTCATTGTGAATGACTGTTTAATTTTTCAGACGACGTATTCAGAGAAACTCAACCCCTTGTTAGATCTGTAATGGATGGTTACAATGTCTGCATTTTCGCTTATGGTCAAACTGGATCCGGCAAAACACATACTATGGTTAGGTTCTTTCACAACATAAACTGCAGATGTTCATTTTATCTGCATCATAGGGGCATTTCTTGTTAGTTTTATGAACCTACTTTTTATATGTGTTGAAGAGCTATTTATATGAAGTGTGGTAAATTGATTTTTCTGCAGTATGTTCAATAATTCATTCTCTTTGTCGACAGTGTGGTCCGGGTGGATCGGCTAACGAGTTGGGGATTAACTGTTTAGCTATTAATGATCTTTTTCAACTATCTAATGAAAGAAAGGACATCATAGAATATAGAATTCAAGTCCAAATGGTTGAGATATATAACGAACAAGTTCGTGATCTTCTTGCAGAAGACCTGTCAGCTGTAAAATATCCTTTCACATTTTGAGTAACTGTATTCTACATTAAATTGTTTGCAGCTCATTTAGAGTGTGTTTAATTGCAATCTTGGAATTAATGTGGAAAGAAAATAAATTCTTGGCAATTGAATTGCCTAGAAATTATTTGCATGAAAATTGTCAAATATTTGTGTTTGATTGATTTTATTTTCAACATAAAAAATATTATACTTATCCATTTTTTATTGATAGATAGATGAGAGGGAGAGAAAGTAGATGAGAGAGAAAGAGAGAGTGAATTACCTGAAAAATAAAAATTTAGAGAGAGTGAATTACCTGAAAAACTAAAAACTTATTCCTCCTAAAGATTTTTCCATGGAAAAAATGACATTTTCCATGGAAAATATTGGCAATCGAATTCATTCATAGATTCAAAATCCGAACAAATAAATTCATTTATATGCTTCTCGGTATACAAATATCCAAAGTGTCGATTTCTTAACTACCAATAAATTAGAGATCCGGAGTTGTGCAAGTGATGATGGCTTGGTTCTTCCTACTAGGAGTCCAACAAGTTCTGCTTTCAAAAGCCATGTGGTAAAAGTCGTCGATACTGCAATAAAGGCTCCATCTTTTCAAAATCCCAAGACACCCATGTCACATGTAAAATCAAAGATTGGGGTCCAGATATTGCAACAAAATGACAATTCCATCTATTCTGAATTTCAGATGTCTTGCTCCTCGACTAATACTTCTTATGGAAAGGGCTCTCAGATAAGGAAATCACTACGATCTATTGGGAAACTAATTCACGGGTCAGAGAAGAGGTATGCAATTGTTTATTGTACTGTGTTAGTCCTGTTGTGTACGAAATATGCACTAAATGTTTTTAAGTTGCTCTAAGTCTTCAGTCCATATTGCATCATCTAATCTTGTTTATTGAAACATGTGATTAAATAATATCCTCAAGAATTTTTATGAAAATCACAGGAACCAACAGAAACCGACAGAATCACCAACGCCTTTCAATGGAAAGAGCGCCATGCATGATGCTAAGTCACCCATTCATTCGAATGCAAAGGCCCTCAGGAGACAGTCACTAACCGGGGTTCAACCATCCAAGCGAGCTTCACTTGGAGGGGTTTCATCCGAATCTTGTAAGTGAAATCATTTTCCACTTGGACTCAATAAGTTCATATACAATACACAAACATGCGATTAACACAAAATTTCAATCTTATGCAGATGGAAACGAAAATAGGAACGTAAAAACACCACCTCCAGTTTGTTCTTCAACAAAGCTAACAAAACGGTGGCTTTAGACCATTTTAGGCAACTCGAACAAGCTAACTTTTAGTTATAGGACTCAATTTTGGGAAGTTTAAGAAAATGTTCACTAGAACTATTGTGTAGTCTTTCTTGTACATACATCCGAGGGGGAATATGGATTCCTCGACAAAATCTGGTTTTATCACCAGGTCGATAAATGATCTGCTCTATCCCAGTTTTTTATGTTAATTCATACTGAACATATTGATCAATGCCTTGTAATTCTCATTGTTGTATTATCATTTTTGACATGCTTTTGTCAAATCTGCTCCATAAAATGTGCAAGTTCCTGAGATATCATGCACTTTGTGTATTTTGCGCACAGCATGTTGATTTTCATTTTTGAAAGTCGACACAAACATTAGGACATAACTGTCGTGTATATGAAAAATTTTGCACTGGAAATATAATTTTGTTTCTTTTTTTAATGATCGATCTTCAATGGAAAACCACAAAATATAACAGGAAGAAGCTTCGTCTTTTTTCTTTTTTCTTTTTCTTGTTCAGACGCTGAGAAATAATGTTCAGAGGCAAAATCCCATCATTTAATTCGTGGTAAAGATTTACCCGTATATCCTCCCGTAGAAAAGAACACAGCTGGGACATTGTGCTAGACATCACCAGTGCCCATTCTGTGATTTTCGGCCCTGAAGCGAAGATCATAAATTGGGCCCCAAAATTTTAGTATGCATGCAAAATCGTATTATGGAGTCAATAGTTAACTTGTTAATTTAAAACTTAACAATTAAACATCAAATAAATGTATTTTATATATATATATATATATATATTATAATCAAATAGCAAAGCCGATCATATTTCAAACGATCACTTAAATATTATTTGTCTTGCGATTTTAGAGGCAAAAATATTATTGAAATTTAAATAATCTACCTGTTCAATTATTTATTTCTCAATTAATACTATAGTCAATTAATTCAATATTTCTTGTTATATTGATCTAAGATAAGATAAATAATTAACAAAATCTTGTAAGTAATATAAGTAGTTGAGATGTTTTCAAATATTGTATCCCTTCAATTACTCTTGTTTCTTCACTTAGTATATATAGCACTTCAATACATGTAATTCAGAATCTAAATCATCTCCATTAATATTCGAACATCAATTGTATTTTAGATACTTCTCAAGATTCATAACAAATTGAAAAAATTGCATGCTTTAACCTTTCCAAATTTAATAAAAATTGAAATATTTTTTTATATTGTATAAATTGTACAAATCAAATTTTAAAGAAGATAGAGTTTAATCAATTATAAAAAAATAAGTATTCAATTCTAAAAGATTCTTCAACCAATTGATTTACATCATCATTGCTACTTTTGTCAAATTACTTCTTCATTCAAATTATAGGTTTTTATCGGAATCCATTTTACTTGCCCCTTTTGTCAATTTATCCATGACAATAGTAAATTCAATTTCTCAATAATTTTTGAGAAATAAAAAAAAAAAAAATCTTGTAATAAGTCGATAGCACCATCAATATCCATATTTTTTATTAGAAGAAATTTACTCATAATATTGATTGCATGTAATAACCCGAAACAAGTTAACATGCTAAGCAAGAACTCAATTTTGAGGTTCATGACTTTACTCTTTGTCTATGGATCTTCATTAGTTTTTGCCAAGTCAAGTAACACGTCTCTTATTTTAAGAATATCTAACTCTGAGAAATAATATATACGTAACAATCTAACTCTTGGAGAACGGAAGATTATCTCCGATGAGAATATTAGAGATTATAAGAATATCTTCGGTCAACAAACAATATGAAATCCTTAGATTGAAATAATATATGATCGTGAACATATCGACAGAGAAGCTAAGCTAAGAACTCAAAGTAGACTTATCTCATTTAACCTATATGAACCAACAATTTGGGAACTATAAAAACATCAATGACAGGCACACTACTAGCATGGGAGCTAAGGTAAGAACCCAGAATGGACTTTTATATTTTGATCTACATGGATAGATCTCTTGGAAATTAAGAGAATATCTCCAATCGAGAGCATCTACGAGATTGAAAGAACATCCTCATAAAATGATCTTGGACTAACATTCCTCATAAATGGCCATATAAATTGAAAGAATATCCAGGGTCAAATATTTCTGAGATTGAAAGAGTATCTCTGATAGAAATGACCACACAACTATGAAGCTTCAGGTTCACTCCAGATTTCCTTCGATATAAATGCATTGAAATACTTATGGAGCTGAAGATCTATAAACTTCTAATTTCTTCCAACACAAATGTCTCAGTATCTATATGCTTCGACTCGTTTTCTCTACTTTTAATCACACATTCTTTTAATAAAATAATCTTACATGTAAACCTACAATTTTTTTCCTACTTTCTAACTACATATTCTCCAAAAAGCACTATTACAAAACCTATTTTCTCCAAGAATGGAGCTCAAATACATATAATTCTTTGGAGAAGAAAGGAAAACTATGAATGGTTAAAGGTCTACAATTTAAAGATTCCAGTATTAGTAGTCTAAAAAAAACATCAAAATCCTTCATTTCTCGTAAATTTCAAACTTGGAGGACTAATGTTATGTGCTAAAATAATTAATGTCCACATGGATTTTAAGTCCGCTATCAAAGGGCCCCCATTGCATGCCCACGTGTCCTTGAACATATGTGCCTCGATCATCGATGCATAATTGAGCAAAAAGATGCATCGACCATCGTGCTCCTCTAAGAAATGGAGCATTTAAAATCCTAAAACTTCGCTAGGAACATGACTGTGGGCCTCAAGCATCAACAAGACTAAATGCCATGGTTAAGCCTAAAAAACAAACTGGAAACTACTCGAAATCTAGCAGAATCAACTTGGACTTCTATGCACTAAATTCATGCGTGCACACAATAATTAATGAACAATTTTCACAAAGCAGAAACGTCAATAAACATTAAAATGAGACTTAATTATGACTTTCTAAATGAAAAAAATAATGTCAACTCAAGAAAATAACTAAAATGCCCCTAAAAAAATTAGTTCATTGCACAATGAAATGGTAGGAGTTGAAAATTTAATTTCCAAACTTTTACTTAAAAAAAAGGAACTCGAATCAAGAATTCATCCTGAGTAGGACCTATCAGAAATTGAGACACTACCTGTGATCGATAAGCAATTTCTGACCAGAATTACACTCTCTTCTCTTTACTACAAATATTACAAATATTGACATCTAAAACACAACCAAAATCCCCAAAAGAGGGGAACCCATACCAAAATTTGGAGGGATAAACAATCGTATACTTTTAGAACAATATTATTTAAGGTCAATAGAACCGATCCAAACCAAACCAGACTAGAACTATTCATTTCATAATACTTTCAATTTTTTTTCGATGCCATAATTACAAACGAAACCAATAGTTCCATTTTAAGAAAACCATTTATTTTCAATTTGATTACGATTCTCTTCGAAATTAAAACATATGGAAGAATGACTATCTATAATGCACATATTATTTGTGTTGATTAAAAGGACTAAAGTGTGAGGATAATTTTTTAAGAGCTAGAGAACATATTAACAACCAGGATATGTAAAACCATTAGTTCTTTAAATACAAACAGAAAAATTAGGGTTGGCTTCTTAACCTTTCATGTGATATGAGTCATATGACGATGGTTCCTCAACTGTCAAAGTAAAGTTTTGGCACTCATAACTTATTTAAATATGTAAATTCGGGTGTCCAAGTAACCATAATGATTAATTTAAATGCTAATGGCGTGCTATTTTCAAATTGAATTGGATAGAAGTGTTAAATGGTTTGATGGATTTGCCCTCCAATCTTAAGTCACGTGAAAATCTTGTACAATTTTATCGTTTGCATTGAATATTTTGATCACGTATGGACCAAAATTCATACACTTAAATAGGTTGAGAGCACAAAAATATTGGGGAGCCCAATCCTAATATTTTTAACTAAAAAGGAAAAATTGTAAAAGGAGCCCTCAACCTTTCAATCAACTTTCAATGTGGTCATCAATCTATATATTTATAGTTTTTAAAATGTAACAAAATAATCTATTAAGATCTAAAAATTTATAAAATTAGAATAGTGTTATAAAAGTGAAGAAAAGAGAACAGAACAGAGAGAAGTCAATAGACTTGTGTGTTTTATTAAGAATCAAAGCCCTATATTTATAGGGCAGAATTAGAAATACAATAGTAATTATTGCTAAAACTGTATGGGTGTAATTGTCATTCACCTCTAAACCCTAATAATCTTTCCTTTTACAACACTCCCCCTTGAATGACACATTACAAAATATCTGCCTCGTTAAAACCTTATTTGATAAAAATTCAATGGGAAAAAAATCAAACGAAGGAAAAAGAGTACAGTTATTTTGGAGTACTAAAAATAAATGCTGCCCCCATTAAAACCTTGTTAGGAAAACCCAATGGAACAAAACCTAAGCTAAGAAAAAAGAGTACAACTACTCCCCTTGATATTGATCACTGTAAATCTTTGAGTTGACGCATTCCAATCTCATGAACTAATTTCTTGAATGTAGATGTTGGCAGTGCTTTTGTAAATAAATTGGTCACATTGTTACTTGAGCGAATTTTGGAGAAATATATTTCGTCCTATCACCTTTGATATAGCATCCTCTGAGTTGTGCAATATAAGCTGCATTGTCTTTATACAAAATTGTTGGACTATCCTTTGTTGAAATTAATCTGCATAATGCTTGGATATGATAGGTCATGTTTCTCAACCATATACACATTCTCGGTCTGCTTCATGGATTGCAATAACTTCAGAGTGATTTGAAGATGTAGCTGTCAAGGATTGCTTCACAGATCTCCATTATATAGCCGTTCCTCCACATGTAAACACATAACCTGTTTGTGATTTAGCTTTATATGGGTCAGACAGATAACCTACATCTGCATATCCCACTAAAGCAGATCCCCACTTTTGAGAATAAAATAATCTCAAATCAATAGTACCCTTTAGGTAACGAAAAATATATTTAACACTATTTCAATGTCTTTGAATTGGTGTAGAGTTATATCTTTCAAGGAGATTTACAGAAAAAGTTATGTCGAGCTGAGTGCAATTTGCAAGATAAGTTAATGCTTAAATTGCACTAAGATATGGTACTTCAGGACCAATAACTTTTTTCTCTATCTTCAAGTGAATGAAATGAATCTTTTTTCACATCAAGTGATCGAACAACCATAGGTGATGCCAATGAATGTGCATTATCCATGTAAAAATGTTTTAAAACTTTTTCTGTATAAGTAGATT